TGGACATGGACACAGACTTAAAGTCGACAGCTGGACAAAAAGAATCAAAGAAGTGGTGAGAAAACATGTTTCTTTTAATTGAAACAGTACAAACTGTAGCTAATATGGATTTATAAAGTAAATAAAGTGCACCAAGCACCCTGCTCTGAATAGTTTGATACCTTTTTAACCTCGACACTAATCACTCTCCCAGTGAAGCAAGCAGTGAGTGAGCAAGATGACAGTTGGATGTTACGATACTTGCGGATGAATATCAATTTTTACTAGGAAAGAAAATATCGATATATATCGCGATATCGATATTATCCTACAGCCCTAACTGGAACCATGTTTTTCTTTTTTTTTTGCCTTGTAAATTTGCCTTTAAAATACAAGGCAAATTTATAGTAAACTTTTACCTTTTACACAAACAAAGATAAAAGTTTTACCTTTGAACAAAGGTAAAAGTTTTACCTTTGTTCAGAAGTTCTTGTTTCCATTTTGCTTGCACTAGAGACTAGAATACAGGTATTTCTATTTTATTCTATGTAGCTGTAGCAGGGGTAGAACAGGAATAGATGGACACATATTTGGTTTAAGCAAATTTAACTAAGTTGTGTCGCATTGCAGGTGGAAAAGTTTGAAATTATTCATTATAATGTCATAGATTTGCAACCAAAAACACTTATGAGTCACACTGTAATTAGTAAACTTGATTGTGAAGACAAAATAATCACGCACAGACCCTAATTGTTGATGATATCTCAGTTTGTCGACAAAGAAGTTTTGGATAGATCCTCTCCATCTCAGAAGAAAGCGTAAATGTACAATTTTTGTTGTGTAAAATATATATTTTTTGTTAGAATCTGGACTTCTTTAAGCTTTTGATATCTCTTTCTGAGCTTTAGCTATTTATGTAACTCTACTTAAAATTTAATTTTCTCTTGTTTTGGTGTTTGTCAGACTTTCTCCCACATTCATTACTTTTCACTTTTTTACAAGTGTTGCACATGTTATTGTTTTATATATTTTTCTTTTCCTGCTGTTTATGTGATTCTCGCTACATCTTGTAACGGTGAAATAAAGTTGTAGAAAAAAGGGGAGGTGCTATTAGTGCCACTATGGCAACCGCGGTGACGTAAAAATCCTCCCTCCCTGGACATTTATAGCCAGTCCTTCGAATAAATAAAGTGCCATTTCCAATTTAGGCATTCTAGTATGAAACAGCAGCTTCGTTCTTTAATCGTTGGACATAATTAATCTTGGTGTGAGTGAAGACGTCCACGTCTTATTTTCTGTCAAAGTACATTTCTTCGTCAGCCTTAACGGGGACTGTTTTTTTTTTAACCGAGGACTATATTCTTCCGCCCAACGCGCTCCATTGGCGGAAGGATTCAGTTAACTTTGGTGACCGTGGAGAAAGGCGTTGTTCATTATTTGTACCAGTTTTATTTTTATATTTTTTCTTTACACCGTTTCTTTTTGTGTTTCTTGTTCAGCTTTTTTCCCTTCGGTCGGTGCCCTTATTTAGATGGCCAGCTTCCCAGATTGTGTAAATGAAAATGATCTAGGTAAGTAGTTTTTGGCTCTATTTAACTCAGGACAGTGTTACGCAGAAGCGTTTATGAAAATGCGGAACTGTCAGTTTCAGGGTTAGTTTATTTGATCAGTATATTCTGTAAAAGATTTAATGAACATGTCGACATATGATACAATGTTTAGTGAAGTTGTAACTTCTTAAATAATGTTCGCATTGCTCGTTGCTTGTGTTGTGCGACGTGGACAGACGCACTACAGCTGGTGTCAGTTTGTATTGGAATGTAAGCTAAATATCTAGTGAGTTTTGGGGTTTTCAAACCTCTGCTAACCCCCGTATGATTTCCAAAGGTTATGTTTACATCGTTCAGTAAAGGCGTGCCGAGTTTGTGTATCGAGCCACTGCCACAGTGATTAATGGCCTTGGCCTGTCCTCACAATGCTAGTCTAACATGAACGTTGTAAAATGTCCGAGTTTCAATGTTTTACGCAATTTGCTCTGATGTAAAGCACTCAGTCATGCTGTAATCTCTTTGCAAAACACTAAATAAATTTGAGATTAAATCTGTATAGTTTGTAATGTTAGCCATTTATATGTATTTGTCTGTACTTCCTTAATGTGAACGAAACAAAACATTGAAACCATCGCGGAAAGGGACGTTCTATTTCTTTTTTTAATCGATCTTAAATGAGTATCGCGGTGGCCCCACACTGCTCACACCCAGCAGCGGCCTCCATGTTGCATTTAGTGGTGAACACGTAGCTGTGCAAACACTGCGCTCACACAGCAGGCTGGCCCAGCATACAGGGATAAGATACTCTGTCCTGACAGGGAATCCCTCGCAATGTTAACATTTGTCCACCACCAAGAGTAGACCTTTACCCGAATTGGGTTCTGTGTATATTTAGCCAATCAAAGCGGGGTTTTTTGTTGTTGTCATTCTATAATGTCACGCCAGTAAACGTTGACATTAGGAAAGTACATTTTACTGAATCTATACACAGATATGTGAACCGTGCTGGCCATAGCTTGCTGGACCAGTCACTATCAGCCTCAGCCTCTTATCAACAGTTTAGTTTATCTAATTGACTTCAGTTCACTCGAAATCTTCCCCTGGTTGTTGTGTATCTACAGACCATTCTATTTATGTCCTCTGTTCACCTGATTGGAAGGTATGAGGGGTGTGGCAGCCTGTTTTTTTTTTGTGTGTGTGTGTGTGTGTGTGTGCGCGCGCGCGTGTGTGTGTAGCACACGGCCCATTTTAGCCGTGTGCTACTTTCAAGCTGTTTGTTTATAGACTGTTTTCTTTCTTCCAGACAAGGCTAAGTTCGTTGGTGAACTCCTGGTCCCTGTTGCTCCCTTCGACCAGAAGTCTGGGCGTGAGGCCTGGACTGTAGCCTTTGCACCAAATGGTTCCTACTTTGCTTGGTCTCAGGGACATCGCATTGTCAGGCTCATCCCTTGGAATAAATGCTTGAAGAGCTTGTAAGTATTGTAGTTACTCCAAATATCTGGCAAGCTGTTGTCCTCCCTGCTCTAACACGCCTGATAGAAATAGTTAAATTTTCTGCACAACATTTTGTAGGATCCCGCTGACATTAGAAGTTCATGTAAAGAACCAATAAAAACAGTAGCTCTCAAGCACCTGAACTAAGCACACCAACCTTGCTGTGAACTTGTTCAAAGCAGACAGTGCAGAAGTTTATATTAGTTCTAAATGGCTTTCTGCTCATAATTGCTGCTGGGCTTCTTTACCCAACATCCCTGAGCTTCACTTGACTAATATATAAGAGCTTGTTGTTGCTTTTTGAACAACAAGCTCACTTTTCAAGTATAAGTGATGGACTATGGTCAGTATGAATAGGTCAATGTTGATCCCACAACTGAACCTTGTTACTGTGAGCTCACACTGTAGCTGCACTTCACAGTAAACCTGCTCAGACTTATAAAATCAAAAAGCATTTGGTCTTAAAATGGTTGTCTTTATGCCTATACCGTCTTCTAACAATTTCTTTCTTTTTAAATTTGGTTTAGTTCACTGAGTGCCGGCGAAGAAGGTACCAACCCAACTAGCCCGCGCCATTTGTCCCGTCAAAACAGCGATGGAGGTGTTACCATCCCACTGGCTGATGAACCCCGTGAACACACGATAGACTGTGGGGACATAGTGTGGGGCCTGGCCTTTGGCTCCTCCGTTCCAGAAAAACAGAGCCGCTGTGTCAATATTGAGTGGCACCGGTTCAAGTTTGGTCAGGACCAGTTGCTGCTGGCAACAGGTCTCAACAATGGCCGCATCAAGATCTGGGACGTTTACTCTGGTGAGTGCAGACTGGGGTTTCTATGTTTTTTTGTCTTCAGCAAGTAATTGTCAGAAAAGACCATCAAAGTGGAAGCAAAATGTAAGATCTGACATCCATGTTCTCTGTATTCTGCAGTTTGCTTAAAAGGGACCTAGTATGTGAAATTCACTTTTTGCATGTTTTTGTTCTTCCATTTGGGTCCCTAATGTTCCTAGAAACAGCCCAAGTACTTCAAAACACCACCCAGCCATTTTCTGGCAGTATCTTAATGTTTTTTGGTATCTCACAAACAAAGCTTTTTCAAAAACCTCCAGATTATTAAGTCACAATTGGTGGGCACCACCCTGTAACTCAGCAACCCCAGCAGAGTTGGTTGAGCTGGTTTTACCACTGCATGGGCTGAACAATGGCTAAAAGAAAAGACCAGAGTTTTGTTGTTGACTCATTGTACAGGAACTGCTGGTATGTTTGAGCAGGAGGCTCCACTTCTGCTTCTGGGTTTGACTCAGGGTCAGAGATGGATGGAGTTATCATTAGTTTGCAGCCATTTTCACATGAATAGGTGTACACATTGTGTTGGGTTCATGTTTGGATGTAAAGTGACCAAGGTGTTTCCAAAGCAGACGGACTCAGTTCGGTCTTTTGGTTCTCTTGAATCCACATATGAATTCAAACCGCACCAAAGTTCATTGTAATGGAACTGAGACATGGGTTTGTAGGCCAGAGTTCGATTACACATTCACACCTTCTCAAACCAACAGAACTTCCTAGACAAACAAACTAGAGTTCGATCAAAGCGGACTAAACAGGGCTGGTGTGAACACATCTTAAAACTTGCTCATTCTGAAAGGAGCTCAAGATAAATACACCTGACCAGTGAAATCTCTGAATGATTTTTACAAAAATATGTAACGATGTAATGATTAGTAGCCCTAGATTGTTCAAGGAAGCATAACAGAACCCTTTAACATTGTTTGCCCAAAACACCAGCAACTGTAATGACTTTGTAAAATAAATAATAATAATAAAAAAATATCTTCATCTAACAGAATTATTTTCCTCAAAATATTAGTGAACAAAAAGTTGGATATTTTTTTTAAGTAGCTTTAGAGGATGAGTATCTTTCTCTTTCTGTAGCCATTATTGCTTGTTTCCTCTCGTGCAGAATATAACTGGATCTGTAGGATCCAGCTATAAATATGTGTTCTGTATGAACACATATTTCTGTATGTGTTGATGCAGAAATATGTTCATGCATATTTCTGTATCAACACGTCCTGCACCGGTCGGCTCTAACTCTCTGGCTTCTCATGTTCTCCTGTTTGCAGGAAAACTGTTGCTGAATCTGATGGACCACACCGATGTGGTGAGAGACTTGACCTTTGCTCCCGATGGCAGCCTCATGCTGGTGTCTGCGTCCAGAGATAAGACCCTGCGTGTGTGGGACCTTAAAGACGATGGTGAGTGGTGCAGCTCCCTGTGAGGATCAGGGATCTTCATCAGGTTAACTGTTGGAGCGCAGACTGCTGTGGTGTTTGTAAAACCAAACCCTGGTCTGTCAGATTTTCTGTAGACTAGCTCTGTGGAGTTTTTGAAAAGCTGACCTGCTGACTCTAGCTAAACATGAACCATTTGAATCAGTGGAAGTCTGGGCTGGAAACTGGACCAAATCCAAATGATCTTCCCCTAAAGCATGTAGGATCACAAGGATGACATATTGATGACATCATCATTTTCTATCCGTCTGTAAATGAACTGAATTGACTGTTTCCTGTATGAGTGAGCTGGCTGCTCTGTGCCGAACTGAACCTTTTGCTGTCATGTGTGCCAGGTAACATGGTGAAGGTCCTGCGTGGACATCAGAACTGGGTGCACTGCAGCTCCTTCTCTCCCGACTCGTCCATCCTGTGCTCGGTCGGCGCAGGCAAAGCGGTATGTCCTCATCTTTCTTCCTCTGTGGAGGTTTTAGCATGAATCTTTGTGCAGCTGCTTGTGATTATCTTCAATCAGCATTGTAATTGCTAAAGTTTCCAGCTTTCCTGTCCCTTCATTTACACCCAAGAAAAATCTGCTCAGTGTCATTGGTTATGTAGCTTCTTGTAACCTGACAGAGCTTGTACTTATTTATGAAGCAACAGAGCAGACAGATTGCTAGGATCAGGTTTTTTTTAATGACAACATTGAGGAAGTTGTAATAAAAAAAATCTTCTGATGTAAAAAAAAAAAAAAGAAAAAAAAATTAAATATATTTGCTCATAAAGAGCCTGCTTTACATTTAAAAATAATCAGTAATGACATGTTGAAGTAAGCTCTGTTTGTGGATGTGCAGTCAGCAGAGTAGCCACCATGACTGAACTTGTTTCCAGTGTTAGAGCAGGTAAGGTAGGGCTGGTAGCAGTTCTGTTAGGCTCTGTGTCCCTACAGTGTGTGTCTTGCTCTTCCTGTCACAGGTGGTGGCAGAGCTCAGTGTGTGATTGGTTTTGAAAGGAGCGCCGCGCTGACATTTGAGCAGCCGGTGTAAACCATGGACGCACAGTTCACAAAGGCCTGGCCAGGGCCACCTGGCACCTGACCCCAAGGTCAATCTGTACGTAGGTGCTGCTCTGTGTCTGTCTACCTCCTCTATTTATTTTTTGGACATTTCACTTTAAAAAATGTCAGTTTCATTCAGCTGGTGGTAAAGTAGGCCTGCATTCCTGCTGCTCGACCCCTCCGCCCCTTATCTCTGACTAGCTCCATATCCATTCTGCTCACAATAGTTCCTCTTATTTCTATCTGTCAGTTGAAATGTTTGTTTCGTAGCGCATGCTACAGTGTTCTGCTGCCGCTGGCAAAGTAATGGAGCGCATCCGTGTTCCCGCCCAGCCGCCACGCCTCTCGGGAAGCGTTAGCCAACACCTTCCAGCACCTCTTACTGCAGCTGCTGTTACCCTGATTCGGCTAGTTTCAGTCTCACTGCATTTCCACAGCACTTTCACTGCAGAAGGCCAAGACCAGTTCTGACTTTACAGAAAACACTGCAGATCTGTTGCCGTTAGCAGCACCAGATGAACAACAACAAAAAAAACCGTTTTGAATATTTGCAGTTAAACACATTTTCACTGATTCAGCATAAAACAAGAAAAGAGGAACAAGAGAGAGAGGAACCGTCTCCAAAGTGTCTTCATGCATTCAGTTTCAGGTCATTTTAATAGAAATCAATCAGCATTTGCAGCATTTTTTCAGCCTAGTTTACCAATAAGCTGCAACCATACAAAGTCCTGACAGAGTTCAGGACCCAGCCACTGCTCGATTCTGTTGGATGTGTGTGGAAGTGAATGTAATGTGTACTTTGCCAGAGGTATCAGACCTTTGGCCATAAAATATGCTCTTCTCTTGCAGTATCTCTCTCTTCGTAGGCTCCTGTTGGAGGTGCGAGCCTTTTGTAAGCTCTGAGCTAAAACTCTGAAAGGAGAAACAAGTGGAGTCATTTTGTTCCCTTAAGTTACTGTTTGTTTTTCCTTTTTCCACTTGTTTTTGTTTTTCCAAAGTATTTTTAAAGTTTATTAACTAAAGTAATACCCTACTGTCATTTCTAGATTAACTAGAATGTTTAGTATATAGTGTAATTACTACTGAATGTAAAGTTCTGCAGTGTATTACAGTGGCACTGAGCATACCTCGTTTACTCCTGCTGTAATTCATGTTGCTTGATTTTAATTGGTAGTTGTTGATAAGTGACTCATGAGAAATGTACCGTGTCGCCTCCAGTGACTCTCTGGTTCATTTTCTAAGCTATAACAGCTCCCCGCTTTAACTCGCAGGTGTTGATATGGAACATGGATAAGTACACGTTGATCCGGAAGCTGGAGGGGCATCATAACGATGTTGTATCCTGTGAGTTTTCACCTGATGGCGCACTGCTGGCCACGGCCTCTTATGACACCCGGGTCATTGTGTGGGACCACCACAAGGGCACCATTCTCCTGGAGCTGGGGTAGGAACGCACGCCGCCGTTCGCTGGCTGCATGTCTGTGGTTTATATCTGAATATTGATATCTGTGCATATTTTTCCTGGTGTGTCATTTCTTTCCCCCGTCTGTTTAGTTTACTAGTTTTAGAAATTGCGGAGTACTTATTGCTTTAGACCAACATTTAGTTTTATACTTTTAATATTGGAACAAGCCCTGAAGAAACTGTTAGATTACAAATCTAGAATAAACTTAAGATCTACTTAACAACCCAGAACAACTGGAACCAACATCTAGTTTTATCAGAACCAGAGAAACCTCTGTTAGTTTATAAAATATGGACGACTTATTCTTATTAAACATGCGGAAGCAATATGTAGTTTTATACTTTAACTAAAGTAATACCCTGTTTTTTGTATTTCCTTCTAATCCATGTAAAGCACTTTGAACTGCCTTGTTGCTGTCAATGTACGATATAAATAAAATGACCTTACACCAGCATCCAGACCACTGGAGACGGCTTGTGTACATTGGTCAGTAGAGAGGAGCAGTTAGCATGTTGTCGTTATGAACCATTATGCTCATAACCACAAACTCATTTATGTGAATGCAAATCTCAACAGTTAAGTCCCACTGTCTTCCTCCACAGTCATCTCTTCCCCCCTCCATCACCCATTTTTGCTGGAGGGGCAAATGACCGCTGGGTTCGCTCTGTGAGTTTCTGCCCTGATGGCCGCCACATCGCCAGCATTACTGATGACAGGTAAGAACAGAATGAAGAGAAGAATCACTGAGACGAGACCAGAACACACAGACTGGATCAGTCACATGACTGAGCTGTTGCCTCGAACCATGTTGAGGTCAAAACAAGGAGCACAAGGAGGAATGGTGGCGAGTGCAGAAGGGTCATTCATTTGATATTTAAAGAACTCTATAGAGCAGCTGTAGGAATAAACATGATAGCAAAAATGTTTGTTGATGCTTCTCAGGGTGTAGAATGTTCTGCATCTTTTCTAGCTACTTTTAGACGTTTAATATATTTATTATGCTTTTCACATTTATATTATATACATATATATATATATATATATATAAATCACAATTCCAACAAGGAAGAAGGAACAAAAAGAAACCCACCCACCCAACAAACAACCAACATCCCTGTAAATACTGTAAGACCATCCAAAAACCAATGTCAAGGTTTATGGAACCACTGCTCTCCCAAAATGTCAAAGGTCTGCTACTCCTTGGCCTTTGTTGAGGGTTTATTGGGGGAAAAAAATCATAGAATATTTCCAGTTTTTATTAAATCTATTTTCAGTGCCTCTCCTTGCATACCTGATATTTATTTTCTAGCTATTTTTAGTTGAGTCTGTTGGACATATCCAGAACATCCTGCCTGCCTGATGGGTTGTTTCTAATGCTCAAAGTTTTTCTTCTCCATGCAGTTTGAGTTACCTGATCTGCAATGTTTTATCCAAAGTGTCCCAGTGCAGCTCTGACTGCAGGCTCTTTGTTCTCTGCCCAGGTTTGTTCGTTTCTGGAGCATTGAGGAGAGGGCTCCTCAGGCAATAGCCTCCTTATCGAATGGCCTCTGCTGTGCCTTTTCTGCTGAAGGAAGTGTCCTTGCTGCTGGGTAAGAACAGAACACAGACTCTCTGCTGTCAACTCTTCAGCCTTTTTACTTTCGTTTCCAGGCTCAACTGTCTAAATTGTTTTCAGGACTCGTGATGGAAGCGTCCACTTCTGGGAGGCTCCCCGCAGCATCGCCAGTCTGCAGCACATGTGCAGGATGGCCCTCCGGAGGCTGCTGACCACCCAGCAGGTGGAGGCTTTAGCCATCCCTACTCCACTCCAGGACTATCTGACCTACAAAGTGGTCTGAGGCCCCTTTACAGCTCAGCAAACTGACAAACCAATGAATACCTTATTTAAAAAAAAAAAAAAAAAGAAAACACTTCTAGACCCTCTGTTCACTGAGGAAACCCAGTGATGCCGACTAACAGAGATGCGTTCAGGTTTGCTGATAACTCTGAGCCATGTCTGAGTCGATCCTTCAGCATTCTATGTTGTACATATTTATTAGAAGCTGACAGTACTGACGTGGTGGTCCGCCGTCGGGTCGGGGTGTTTCTGCTCGCTCTCTCTCTTCAGTGTCGTCTGCTGCTCAGAAATGTGGAGGTCCGGTTCCACCAGCTCTGCTCTAACTTGAAACGGCTGATGCACTTAAAGAAGAGGCCTTTCAGTGGTGCTTGCTTTGAATGTTTGTCATCTTTAATGTTCTGTTTGCGGCGTGGAGCTATCAGCTCCTGTCCACACTACCACACAGACCCTGGAAAACAAACCCCACACTTCTCATCTACATGCACAATGAAAAGTTTAAGAACTTTTTAAAAAATAAGTTTGACAGTTTTTTCCTCTGGCAGTATTTCCATTGCAGCATCTGGATTCTAAACACTACAGCTTTGGTGATCCTATCGTCACTTTGCCTCTGCTCGTCAAGCCATGTTGGTTCTAATCCCAGAATGAGCTGCTTCACAGGTCGGAACATTCTGACCCAATCAGCTTCAACGCAACAAACATCTGCTGGTTTGAACTGACTGGTGCTTCACAGTATCGGCTGTTTGAACCTAGAATTGATTATTGATGACGGGTGCAGATGTTGATCCTTTCTAAAATCATCAGTATTCGTCTTAATAGAAGTTTTGTACATCAACATATCAGATGTTGTTGGTTTCTCCCCGGGTGGAGCCACACTGCCACTCTGCAGCTTACATTTCCACATTAGCTGATAATCCAGTTTGTTTCCATTAAACTAGAAATTTCCACTCAGAGTCCGGAGGTTTCTTTCATCATGTTCCTCCTAAATCGTACTTCTTCTGGTTTGGATTTTGTACATTTGTAAATTCTTTTACTTTGGTCGTTTTATGTGAAAACATTGGCCACATGTCTTACTGTTCAACCTTTACTGTATGCATCAGGTGGTCCATGGCAGTCCTGCTACAATCATGTGTCTGCACTACTAAAGCAATACCTGCCGCCCAAAACAGGATGCAGATCTACCACGAAAACTGCTGACAAATCAAGCAAAATTCTTAGAGGGGGAAAAAATCAGCACCTCTGGGAAAAAAATAAGCTTGTTGTTCATAAAATGTGAAAAAGGAAAAGTGAAGTGAAAGTTTCCTCAGAGTATTCCTGGTGTTTTAGTAGTATTTAGGTACACAACAGTGATGATCAGACTCATCCTGACATTGCAAATGCCAAAGTTTTTCTTTTTGCCTTTTTTTGTTTTTCTAAAATAGTTCGGCAGTTCTAATAGTTTGTAGTAATATGGCCTATTCAAAGCAGACATGTTTTATATATTTGTTAATGGGTAAACTCAGTTCTGCCTCCCAGAGATGCATTCTGATGTTTCCAAATATCTGTGAATGTATGGAGTTCCTACAACCTTCTTGTTTAAATAAAGACTTTTTACAAGAAATGGCTGAAATGACTCGTCTAAACTATTATTATTACAAACATTTCTAATCATTCCTACATAACCAAACACTGGAATTCCTTTGAGTCTAGGTTTTGGTTTTGTTTTGTTCTAATCTGGCCTGGAAAATCTTTAGTTGTAATGGTGAGTTCAATGTGAAGATATGTGTAGGAAAACTGACCCTGCGTGAATTGGAACTGTAACCTTCAGAAAACTGGAAAATTACAACTGGGAAGTCCAAACCAATGGGCTCTGAGGTTTTCTCAGATTTTTTTATTGTCCAGAAGTTATTGTAATAAACATTGTATGAACTATGAGGGACAAAGTTCTGAGAATAATCAACGACTGAAGCTGGTTACATAACTGCCCTTCTAATAGAAACCTCTGCTTTCTACACCTGGTTTAAATCAGTTCTGACCAGGAGGTTTCGTAGGATTAAACGCCGAAATGCTTCCCTTCAAAATTCAGACATTTTCTCTTCTATTTGTGTCTGACATTAGTAACCAAGATTTTAAAGTGGCTTATTTTTTATTTTATTTTTTTTAACTATATCAATGTTGCTCTATTTTTAAAAATTAGTCATGTCAGTCATCACAGGTGTAGATATGTATGGTGGTAGACTGAGATGGTCCATCACTCAGCCCAACATGTTGCCTGTTGGCAACTGGGGTAGCGGTGATAGGCTCCTGCTAAAACACATCACAAGATCCAATAATGATCGTTGCTGTTAATGTGATGCTATCACATTGGCCTCTTCTGTTTGTGTTTTTTACCAGACCCAGAAAAGGCATTGCAGTTATTGGTTTATTTAAGCGTATGCCAGTTAGAGGCAGTTTTCACACTGTCTGTCCTCAGAAAGAAGGACAGAAATGAACGATTCAACATAAGCATCCAACTGACAAAGGCATGTACAAAACGACTCCTTACAACCGTAATCATGTTGTAACAGAACTAAATGTATTTATATTTACAGATTTGTTCTCCGAATGTAACACTGTTCACAGTTAATCATCTTAAAATGACATTCATCTTGAATTAAAAAACCTTGCAAAAAGTACTTAGCATAGCGTAAACGGCAGAGGAGAAATCATTAATAGCTGATATTCCAGGTTCGACACATTCACATAAAAGTCCAACAAAACACCGAAAGACCAAAGGCAGCTCAGAACTGCAATGTTATATCTACAAAATCTCCATTTGACCAGTCAGCTATTTACACTTTACAAACATCTTTCCAAAAACATAAAACACAAGCATATTTTTTTTCAACCTGATGGATCCTCTGTGTCCTCAGCCATTAGGAAGCCACATGATGAAGGACTCTCAGTCTTTGCTGTGTTCATTCCAGGTTCAAAGGATTTTATAGGAGCTTTAGTGGGTATCACACGAACCTTCCCAACCTTTATCCCATGTTTGGCTCTTTTACTCCCCTCAAAATGTTCTATATACTGATGGAATACAAACGGAAAAGTTATTAGGACATTGTCCTTGCTACATTTCACAAGGGATACAAAAACACCTGTTATGTGCAATGGGAAAACATGATGTCAGTGGAATGTTGGAGTGCATTGCAGTTTCAGGGCCAAAGTGACTTGACTTGAGGTATGAGTTTTATTCTCAGATAAAGAAAACTATAAGAGCAAATACATTCCATAAGAAAACTATTGGACATAACATAGTGGTCACTGGGAAGTGAGGTTCAACAAACGTTTGGTATCCGTCCTGAATGAGGTTTTATTCCAACCCGTATCTTTACTCCATCGTTACTCTTACTGTACACAAAAATATGTTGATTCCTACATCTTCGTCCATTATGCTTTTTCTTGTATATGTTTCATAGTGCATCTGTACATTGAAGCCTCTCTGAATTTTATGATTCCTCTTCTGTTATCATGTACAAGTAAATTCTCAGATGATTGTAAAAACTTCTCAACAGAAGCGATTTGATCCAACATCAACTTTCATGTCTGATTCTGGCAGCTCAGTTAACCACTGACTGCTTGCTGGAGATTTGATACTGAGAGTTTAAGCTCACGCCCTGAATCAGGAGTTTTCCTCAGTAGTTTCTGATGCATCGTGTGTTGGTTTGGCAGATTTCTGCAATGTGAAGCAGAGGATCAGTCAGGCTGATGCAGGAGGAGAAGTCTGATCAAACTCAAGACATGAACACTTGTACACATTCAGAAATGTTAAAGAGACACCAGCTGAGGAGAAGAGGTGTCTGCCGGCCATCATCGCCGCTCTGCAGAGGAGCAACAAGCTAAATGCTTTTAGTAAAAAAATGTTTTCATGTATTATTCTGGGAGATCAACCAGTCAGAAAACATGTCGAATTTGCAGCATGCTGAAGATCTCAGAGCAAATTGGGTTCTATTTACCATGGAGCCTGTTGTTTAGAAGTGCTAACAATGTTAAATACTCACAGAGATGTTCTAGTTTAACAGGATGCCCACTCTGCAGTCACTTTATCTTCTCTCTAATAAAGAGTTTAATCTTTTTTCTCTGGAACAGTTGCCAGCAGACCAATTTTTTTCTTAACACTAACCTGCAACATAACAATTTGCCTCCACTGTTGATATAAAAAAGTCAATATACAGTCATGAGACTTAAACAAGTCTCATGACTTGTCTCAAAACAAGCCGTTTTCTTCCTGAAATCACACTTTGCTGCTGTGCTTTCCAACAAGCTGCAGAGGAAACAAACCTCAATCAGGTCAGTAGTTTTAGTGGCATGTTTAAGATTGCCTAATCACTAACAAAAAAGTCACTTCTCAAGAAAGAGATAAAAACAAAAATACAGTCATCGACAGATGTGTCAGAATCAGAACACAAACATCTCTGTTCCCCAACACAGACGTCCATTTCTGAGTCCGACTGGACAGAAGGACAGCAATTGTGCCATGTCATTCTGTCATTAAAGTCATTCCTGTTCTGTGTTACTGAAGCATGACTTCCTGTAAGACCTTTTATCTCAGTAGCACTGCACTGTTCTTTTGGGGCTTCTCTACAAACCGTCAGTCACATAATCACACTTCAGTCTGCTGTTGTGAGTCAGTGATAATGGTCACCCCTCGGCGAACCTCGCTCAGGCCGTCGCAGGGGCTGCCACGTTCAGAGTCCAGCACACAGGTTGTCGACAAATGACACGTTGACTCTGTACCAACTGATAGGTGCATATTTAACGAGACAGCAACGTCCCCGTTTACTGGAGATGCCTGATCCGCTGGTGTAGTGGTGTCCCTGTGGTGTACATTCCCAGTGGGTAGCTGGTGAGAGGGCAGATACTGGCTGGGGTGGAAGTGAGGCCTGCAGTCCGGATGTCTTATGCTGCTTGTGTTCTGGATGGTCTCTTTGGAAACGGGCACATTGGACAGCAGTGGTATGCAGGGGTCAGGGCAGTCCTCCCCGCCTGGCAGCGGAGGTGGGAGCTGCTCTTGGCTCAGGAACTCTTCCTCATGTGGAAGTGGGTAATCAC